CCCAGTTCCGTTCCTCGGTTCCGGGAGCGAGTGACCTTTCCCCGGCGTCCCTGGACTCCCCGCCTCCCGGGTGAGAGGTGCTTCTTCTGGGGGAATCACAGACCTCCTCCAAGAGATGTAAAAAGCTTTTTTCTTTTTCCTGTGTAACTGGATGTTCATCCTTTTCTCTCAAGGTCTGTTTCTGAATTCTCCTGTCTCTCCTGTGAGTGTTCCTCAGGATCTTGCGTGGTGGTGCATGCCTGTAATCCCAGCACTCGGGAGGCTGAGGCAGGAGGATCGCTGTGAGTTCGAGACCAGCCTGAGCTACACAGTAAGTTCCAGGTCAGTCTCAACTACATAGTGAGACCCTGTCTCAAAAAACAAAAAAATCAAATTTAATGGCTTCCTCTTGCTCTCCAGACCCTAGAAGACAAATTGGTGCAAGCATAATTCCATCTAGTAATTCTTTGGACATTTATTGGACTTATACCACGTGCCAGGCTATGAAGGCAAAAAGGAAAGGATGAAAGGATGACTGAAAATCAGACCTCACCTCATTTGAACCCAGCTGCTTCTAGAAGCTGGAGGGTTTGCCTACACTAGAGAGAGTGTAGAAAGTTCTTTCCTTCTGAGGAAGGTGCTTATCTGCCTTCCTCTCCCACCAGTCTTACAAGTAATATCTCAGGGTTAACATAGCCTAGAATTTCTTTAAAAACAGCTCAGTGGTTCTCACATCTCTCTGGAAGCCACTGAGGAATTAAAAAAACACTGTCCTGCAGGCCTGGATTTTGCAAGTGTAAAGATCTCTAGGTGATTCTCATGTGTGGACAAGTCTGGGAGCCACTGCAACAGCAGTTAGCAGTAGTAAATTTTTAAAGGTACAAATAACTGAAAGGTAGAAATGTGTATGGTGAACTGTGGTTATGTAAGAGAACTTTTGTTTTGTTTTATTTTGGATTTTTGAGACAGGGTCTCACTATGTAGTTGAGACTGACCTGGAACTCCCTATGTAGCCCAGGCTGGTCTCGAACTCACAGCGATCCTCCTGCCTCAGCCTTCCGAGTGCTGGGATTACAGGCCAGTGCCACCATGCCTGGCTTTGTTTTTGAAAATACAATGCACTGAAGTGTTTAGAGGTAAAGGGTATCATATCTGTAATTTGTCCTCAAAAATTTTTTTTAATAAAAAGAATAAGTCAAGCATGGTGGTATGCAGTCCCAGCCATCTGGGAGGCAGAGATAGGAAGATAGCTACTTTTAGGCCAATCTGTATTATTGAGACCTATATATAAAAAAATAAGGACGTAGAGATGTAGCTCAGTGGTAGAATGTGTGCCTATCATGCAGGAGGCCCTGGATTCCATATCCAATGGGGGGTAGGAGAGAGGGAGAAGGTAAGTGGTAAATAGTAACATTTAGGAAATCTGGGTTAAAGGTATACAGAGGTTCTTTACTTTTCAGTTTTTAAAGTCTGACATTATTTCTGAATAACAAAGTCATTAAAGTGAACCATGCTTACAAGTCAATAATAAAAAGACAATCTAATTTAAAAGATGGGCAAAAGATTTGAATAAATACATGTCTAAAGAAGATATATAAATGATCAATAAACACATGAAAAAATTCTCAGTATCACCAGCCATCAAGGAAATGCAAATCAAAACCAAAATGAGATACCGCTGTACACCCATCAGTATGGCCATAAGTATAAACGACAGATAATAAGGAAGTGGAGAAATTGGAACCCTCATAAAATAATCAATTTTCTTTGGTTGAGAAACCAACATTATAGAAAATTTTAGCAAATAAATGTAGAAGGAATAACATAATGAAAAAATCACCGTTATATAACCTGTAGTAAGATTGATTTAAGCAAAGATTGTCAATGAATGAAACCATTAGATGAACAGCTAATTGGAGAAATTTACAACAGAAGGCTGGAATTGTCATAATCTGAACTCACTGATTAAGAGTGAGAAAGCCACTCTGGCCTGGTGTTCTATGTGCTTTCTGATGTGATTTACAGTCTACAGCAACACCTGTATTTTACAGGGGGAAATTGAAGAGTAAAGTAAGAAAGCAGCAAAAATCCAGAATGTGAGACTTTCTTCAACACATACGATCAGTTTCTCTGAGTCAGTGGCATTTATTTATTTATTTATTTTTCTTTATTGAGTTTATTGGTACAATCTAGGTATATAATACAGTCACATACATCATTGGGATTCTGTACCTTTCCGTAATAGGTCTTGATTCTCATTTTTTCCCCTTGTCCCTGCCCTCCCTTCACCTCCTCCTCCCCTCCCCATTTACAAACACTTTATTTCCATTTTTTCAGTTTCTCATATTTTTTCCTCTCCCTTATTACCTTTCTCCCACCCTTCCCACTTTCCCTACACCTTTAGCCCTTTACTTCCTATTTCACATTATTGATTATCTCATTAGGATCCTGTGTACTATTATAGTTTTTCACACCAGAGAAACTATTCGGTATTTCAGTTAAAGAAATCTCTGTATGAACATTAAAAAATAGGGAATCCTAAAATAAAACTAAAAAGGAAAGTAAAAGAGAAAAGGCAATGATGTAACATTAAAATAATTCTTAATTCTGGAGATGAAAATGGTCCCTGAATATATTTAAATTGCTTCTTGCTCTTATAGTCTTATTCTTTTTTTCATTATTTAGAGAATACTTTATTAGTTTCTGTAATCAAACCCATGTAGATATGACCTTACATATTTAGTACAATGTGTTACCCCTGTACACATGGAAAAAAATAATAATAAATTAACATTTCTATACCAATATGGCTGTCCGTTTCTGTACAATGCCAACTCAACACAGTAAATTGGGATGACTTTTTCCAAAGTTGGCAGCACCGTTAAAGTTTCCCAAAATTCGATTTATATATATATATATATGTATATATTTATATCTATATAAAAAGACTAATAATAGTATGTTATACATTGATAGCAGCAACAGCTTTTCCAGGTTCTGCAGTCATCTGAACAAAATTATAGACATTCAGCACATTCCATTGAAAACAAAAGAAAACAAAACAAAAAAACCAAAGAAAAGAATAATATCCGGAAAACAGCAAAGTTCTGTTGCTGTTGTGGTACCTGGGACCATTTTTTTTTATTAGCATCTTAATCATCATCTGGAAAGAGAACATTCTAGAGTAATATCATTAAATGTAGCTCTGATAAAGCATGGTCCCTACTATGTATCATAAAGCAGGTACAAGATATTTTACATTCATAGAGGTATGATACAGTACAGTCCTACATCAATAATACTAGAATCAGTTTTGGTTTTAAATTTACTTTGTCTGCAAATAAGATTGCTACCCCTGTTTTTTTCTGGGCTCCTGTCACATGGAGAATTGTTTTCTATCTTTTCACTTTCAGTCTATGGGCTTCTTTTTGCACTAGTTGTGTTTCTTGTATACAACATATTGTTGGATTTTGCTTCTTATTCCATTTAGTGGCATGCATTTATACTAGAGGCATAACAGTGGAATTCCAAAATACGGATCTTGTTTAGATACTGATGCAACCTAATCAATGTAAAAACACTTTGAGACAGTTGGGGACATTTCAGTATGGACTGAGTATTAAATGATGTCGGTGATTTATTGTTTGTTTTTAGATGCGATAGTAGCATATGGTTATATAAGAAAATGATGAAAATTTTTAGACATTAAATTCATGATGCCTGGGATTTGCTTTCAAATATTTTAGTAACATACTGGAAGAAGAGAATAGGGATAAAACTAGAGGAAGCCAGAACTTGATAATGAAATACTGCATCTGGATCATGGGTATATTGAGATCCATTATATCATTCCCTCTCTTGTGTATGTTTGAACACTTTTTTATACTAGAAAAATAACTTTTAAAACTTCTAAATAATTTTAAAAATAGAAAATAAGTTTTAAAGTCGTGGACACTAAAAAGACAAGAACATTTTTCATCTTAATAGATACTGCCAAAAAGAACTTTAAAAAAAGATTAGAATAATTCTATACTCCAAATTCCAACCTATATAAGCATATCTATTTTACCATACTAGTTTTATTTTTATAAGTTTGAGAGAGAGAGAGAGAGAGAGAGAGAGAGTGTGTGTGTGTGTGTGTGTGTGTGTACATGCTGGGGAACAAACCCAGGGTCTCAAGCATGCTAGGCAGGTGCTCACTACTGAGCTACACCCTCATTCCTACAGTAAACATTTTTATTTCTTATTCTGTGAGCATTTTGCTTTGTGCTCTCCCCACCCCAGTACTGAGAAATAAACCTAGGGCTTTTGCACTGAGCTATACCACCAGCCTTTTTTGTTTTTTTATTTTGAGACAGGCTCTTGTTAGGATGCCCAGGTGGGTTTGAACTTGTTATCCTCCTGCCTCAGTCTC